AAAAAAAAAAAAAAAAAGTCAACTCTATTCAACTCTATTGTAGATCAGATGTAACTGAAATTATTTTTCAACAAAAATAACTCCAAAGAGAAACAGTGTGTATATCTAAAGTGTTCACTGAGCAGTATCTAAAGATGCTGTCTTTATTTAGGAAGTGTCACAATATAGCCAGCAGGGGGTGCAGCAAACATTATGAAATACTGCTTTTATGCCTTCTATTAGAGAACTGAACTTAAAAAAAATACTTGGTAACACCGGTGTCATGTATGTGTGCTGTATTCAGTTTTTTAACTATCCTTGAAACTTAGAAATTAGGATCTGAGTAACTAACAGATGTAAAATGTTCTAAGTGAGAATAAAACATGTAATGAAGAAGTTTGTAAGAAATGTCTCGTTAGTTATATCCTTTAAATTTAGGGTGCAGAAAAGTACATATTTTCCTTTTAAGAAATAAGCAATCTAGACTAGGTGCAGTGGCTCACACCTGTAATCCTAGTACTCTGGGAAGCTGACGTGGGAGGATTGCTTGCGCTCAGGAGTTCAAGACCAGCCTGAGCAAGAACAAGAACTTGTCTCTACTAAAAATAGAAAAATTAGCTGGGCATGGTGGCACGCCCCTGTAGTCCCAGCTACTTGGGAGGCTGAGGCAAGAGGATCACTTAAGTCCAGGAGTTTCAGGTTGCAGTGAGCTACCATAATGTCACTGCACTCTACCCAGAGTGAGACTGTCTCAAAAATTTAAAAAAAAAAGAGAGAGAGAGAGAAAGAGAAAGAAACAAGCAATCTAGAGGTCAAATACAAACACACATCAAAGTTTCACTTTAAATTAGATCACAAGCTGGATGAGGTGGCTCATGCCTGTAATCCTCAACTTGAGAGGAATGCTTGAGCCCAGGAGTTTGAGACCAGCCTGGGCAACATGATGAGACTACATCTCTAATTTTTTTTTTTTTTAACTAGCCAGGCATAGTGGCACATGCTTGTAGTCCCAGCTACTAGAGAAGCTGGGGCAGGATTGCTTGAGCCTAGGCGTTGAAGGCTGCAGTGAGCTATGACCATAGTGCTATACTCCAGCCTCGGCAACAGAGTGAGACCCCATCTCCAAATAAATAAATAAGGTTACAGCTATGTTCATTTCTTCTTTGCTGATCTGTTCCATAATCTTATCTTTATTACTAAACCAAAAACAAAAAAACTCTCTTAGTCTAGAATCACTCTAGGGCAGGGGTCCCCAACCTATGATGAGTTGTATAATTATTTCATTATATATTACAATGTAATAATAATAGAAATAAAGTGTACAATAAATGTAATGTGCTTGAATCATCGTGAAACCATCCCCCTGGTCCACGGTCCATGGAAAAATTGTCTTCCATGAAAACAGTCCCCTCATGCCAAAAAGGTTGGGGATTGCTGCTCTAGGGAACATACCCCATATATATCAGGCTGCCTGATAGTTTAGTGATATGGAATAAGGATGTAAATGCCAAACATATTAGAATATGAAGATTTTAAGTCAAGAAATTAAACTCAGTTCTAAGCAGGAATGCTTTCAATTTTTCTCCATTCAGTATGATGTTGGCTGTGGGTTTGTCGTGTATGGCTTTTATCATTTTTACGTAAGTCCCATCTATGCCTATTTTGTTAAGCGTTCCTATCATAAAAAGGTGCTGAATTTTATTGAATGCTTTTTCTGCACCTATTGAGAAGACATGGTCTTTATTTTTACTTCTATTTATGTGGTAAATTCCATTAATGGATTTGCATATGTTGAACCATCCCTGCATCTCTGGGATGAAGCCCACTTGGTCGTGATGGATTATTTTTTTGAAAAGCACCCGTGAATTAGATTTGCTAGGATCGTGTTGAAAATTTTTTCATCTGTATTCATAAGGGATATTGGTCTGTAGTTTTCTTTTTTTGTTGTTGTGTCCTTTCCTGGTTTTGGTATCAGGTGATGTTGGCTTCATAAAACATGTTGGGAAGGATTCCTTCCTTCTCGATGTTGTGGAATAATTTCTGCAGGATAGGCACCAGTTCTTCTTTGTAGGTCTGGTAAAATTCGGGTGTGAAACCATCTGGTCCAGGACTTTTCTTTTTAGGAAGGTTTTTTATTGCTGCTTCAACTTAGGTATTTGACATTGATCTGTTCAGGAATTCTATTTCTTCCTGATTGAACCTAGGGAGGCTGTGAGTTTCTAAGAATTTGTCCATTTCCTCCATGTTTTCAAGTTTACGTGCATAGAGGTTTTCATAGTATTCACAGATGATATTTTGTATTTCTGTGGTATCGCTTGTAATTTCTTCTTTTTCATTCCTGATTGAGCTTATTAGAGTCCTTTCTTTTCTGCTTCTCCTAATCTAGCAAGAGTTGTATCAATTTTGTTTATTTTTTCAAAGAACCAACTTTTTGTTTTATTAATCTTATGTATA